CAAGGTGCGGCACCACCATCACTACCACTATCACCATCACCTTCGCCCTGAACGTCTTCGTCACCATCATCATCATGTCTCACATACACACCCCGAGAAGCTGCTCTTGGTAACACGGATACACACAGCAGGGCTTCTTTCTCGCGCGGCTCAGTTCAGTATAACATACATGCATACATACATACATACATACATACATACATACATACATACATGCATGCATACATACACGCACTTGGAAGTTGCTAGGTAAGGCGACCATGCACACCCCGGCCTCCTCACACGCCTCGTCAATGAGGGATTTTAACGCCGCACGCAAACCCTGGCGCTGCGGTAGCCAGGGGGCCCCGGGGGGGAAGCAGGAGGGGAGGGGGAAGCGGGGGGGGGGGATGTTAGTGTGTGTGTATATATGCGCGAGCTCCGAATGCGCAGCAGTCGGGGGCAGGCAGGCGAGACAGACAACTACAGGGTAGGCTGTAAAGCGGTGGGCAGATGGGTGAGAGTGGGTTTGGGGGCAAAAGCGTGGCGTAGTGAAGTGGACGGGGGAGTGGAGGTGGGCGGAAGTCAGGCAAGAGGGGAGCAGCAGAGGGGAACAGCAGAGGGGGTTAGGTGTGTAACGTGCGTGTGCCGTTATGGGTACAGTCGTGATCATAACCGCGACAGCGCAGTAGAAGGCAGGGCGATGCCAGTAGGAGACTGGCAGGAGGGGGTGCTGGCCGGGGCTTACGTCTTTTAGGACGTAGTCTTCCAGGATACTGATGAGTGCTCCGCGCTGCTTTAGGGCCGAAACGTCCAGGTTGAGCGCCAGCCCTAGGATGTGGTCAACGACGTGCGCAGCACTCCGTAGGTCCACACTTTCCGCGAAATCGTTGTTAAAATGGCTGCTAATCAGAGGTAAGCTAGTAAACTCGTAAAGCTCAGATAAGCGTGTCTCCAAACGATGTACCTGAACACGTAATCGACATTCGGTGGGTTTCTTCGCTACCCGGAAAGGTTTCGGAATATATAATTCTGACCTGTTTTGATAGCTTGCCAAGCTTGTTGTTCATTGTCTTCAATTGGTCCAGCACATCGGCAAGGAGGGCCGTGTCCCGATTCGAGCTGCTTGCGCTGGTCGCAGGTGGACCATTTGTCGACAGTGTTGCCCTTACGTGTACTGTATCTTGTAGGCGCCATGTTCTGCGGCGCGGCATACATGAGTCGCGACGTGTCCCATGCACCCTGCGCGTTATTTGCATGGTTACAGCACCGAAGAAACTATGTGTGCCACAGGACTTCTCGTGTGTCAGTCGCACATGGATGGCGACCTATCCTCTTATGTTGGAAACCGTACGATGGATTTCAGTTTTCGCCCCGTTACCACAGTTACAAATTGTATAAAGTTATCAGTGACACCGAAGCGTTAGAGGACGTATCTTTATACCTGACATGGTTGCTCTCGCTGCTTCACATTGAAACCTGTTACTTAAGGCGGGATGTCTCAAGCGTTCGTGGGAAGTAGGAAAGACTGTAAGACATCTTAAGCTCTAAAAAACGATGTGCAAGGAAGAAAATTTCTACCGCTTATGACAAACGATGATGCCGTTCCCTGGGTCGAACAGCACAACCCGGTTACGCGAGTCGCATCTTAGATCTGCTCGTTCGATCGTACAGTCGCACAGGCGTGGAATACCGAATGGAGATCGCAGGGAAGTTCCCATGCGCCTAGGTTTCACGGTCAATTGGTGGCATTTTCCGGCCTGACGCCGGCCGAGATCACCACTTCAGGCAACCCGCTAAACGAACACCCCCCAATGGCGTGCTGTAAGAAACCATCAGAATTTGATGTCAGTCAGCTTTTCAATGCCAGCATGCTACGGACCGCACGGCAAAATGATTATTATTATTGTTACACCGGTGTCCGCTCAACCTGGCGTGTGTTAAGGGGGGAACGCTCTGAGGTCTGCACCTAGTCAGTCCTATATGCTATATTCCCACCGCGTCACCTCTACGGGCCCTTTTTCCACCCTAGAGTTCCACCTATCGTTGGTGAGGACGCCACACTGTCGCTGTGGAACACGACCAGTTATCGCAACCTGCCAGAGTCTGGTGCTCCTGTTACAACTTCAGGCCACGTGCATGTGGCACCGCCTCCCTACCCTTACACTACTGCACTCTACACAGCACCCTGCGCTTTGTCCTGGCGGAGGGTAGTTAGCCCCCTACGACCCGCTTCACCCGCTGGGGGATTCCGCACCCCTCGTAGAGGTCACCATCTAAGGCTCGTGCGAGGTTCGGCCTAGCCATGTTACAGTAGCCTCTTGGTAGGTACTTTGCTTGGACAGCTCCATTGACCTTGTGCAGCCATTTCCTCCTCCTCCTCGGCGCCTAGCCTTCTGGTGATAGACTTGTCATCACATACACCACGGGTTGCCCTGAGGAATGCCTCAGATATGCTGATACACTATCAGTGAACAAGTCTCACAACCCATGGTGACGCCGGTGGGATTCGAACCCACATCTCCCACCGGTTAAGGTGGTGCTTTACCAGTTAAGCTACGGCGCCACGGCAAAATGATTTTCCCTGGACCGCCCGAATACTACGCAGGTGCGAAAAGTATGCTAATACTAGAGCGCGCTGTTCGCGCGAGTGGGCCGTAGCTCCGTCGCTGCGTGCGTTGCACGGCGGTTAAGGGCGTACGGCACAGCATAGCGCGTACGGCATAGCGCATACGACGTGTACGGCGTGTATGTCATAACGTGTACACTGTGCAGTGTCATGCAGCCGCTGCTGTGCCGTCACCTGCGGGTCGGCACGTGCAGCTGCGTGCTGTGCAGTGTTACGCACCGGCGGAAGAAAATTAAGCTTGCGGAGCCTAGCACGCAAATTTAGCCGTACGCGCTCTGCTATGCTACGCTATGCCGTACGCGCTATGCTATGCCGTACGCGCTATGCTATGCTACGCTATGCCGTACGCGCTATGCTATGCCGTACGCGCTATGCTATGCTACGCTATGCCGTACGCGCTATGCTATGCTACGCTATGCCGTACGCGCTATGCTATGCTACGCTATGCCGTACGCGCTATGCTATGCCGTACGCGCTATGCTATGCTACGCTATGCCGTACGCGCCATGCTATGCCGTACGCACTATGCTATGCTACGCTATGCCGTACGCGCTATGCTATGCCGTACGCGCTATGCTATGCTACGCTATGCCGTACGCGCTATGCTATGCTACGCTATGCCGTACGCACTATGCTATGCCGTACGCGCTATGATATGCTACGCTATGCCGTACGCGCTATGCTATGCTACGCTATGCCGTACGCGCTATGCTATGCCGTACGCGCTATGCTATGCTACGGCATATGCTTGCAGATCGCATCTGGCATGTGCTTGCAGATCCCATATGCTTGCAGATCGCATATGCTTGCAGATCGTATATGCTTGCAGATCACATATGATTGCACATCGCATGTGGCATATGCTTGCATATGAAGCATTTGCGCATATGAAACACATGTGCATATGTGCATATGTGCATATGTGCTTCTGTGCATATGAAGCATATGTGCACATGTGCACATGAAGCATACGTGCATATGTGCATATGTGCATATGTGCATATGTCCATATGAAGCATACGAAGAAAAAAGAAAAAAAAGCGCGAATAAAAAGACGCACGCGCGCTGGGGATTGAACCGGCGACGTGGTGGACCGACAGACGGACGGACGGACGGACTAGAGCGCGCTGTTCGCGCGAGTGGGCCGTAGCTCC